TTCAGTAGATGGATGTTTCAGTGTTGAAAAGTTATTTCCATTCCACAGCTATATTCTACCTACATTGAAAAGAAGTCTGAGAAAAGATCATTTTACCAAAAGCCACAGCAGTACAGAGAAGGTGAATATAAAAAATATCTTCTAAGCTGACTTGACAGAATTGTTGTTCCCATCAAACAAACTGCAATAGTTAGAAAACTGAGCAACATCCAAACATTTAGATAAAAATGCAGAAAGCAATCAGCCAATTAGTTTTGTTTACATATCACTTCTATAATTAATGTCTTATTTGACTTCATACAGAAAACACATTACATGCTTGTAACTTGAGCAACTATCTTTATATTAAACATTTGGATGATGGGACTATGCAGACTCTCTGTCAGAATCTTTTACAACTTTTGGTGACTTTTTGGCTGGAAGTAGACCTCTAAAGCACATGTTCCTAGGCACGGTTCTTGTTTGTACTCACTGTCTGAAGAATGTCTAAGCAGCCTTTGAAAAACTACATGAACCTTAAATAGAAGTTTCTGACAAGAGGGTTGTAGATGCAGGTACAGTATGGGTGAATCGGTGTCAGCCCTTCAAGGTAGACCCAACTGGGAAATCAAAGTTATAATCCTAATGTTAGTTTTGTTATAAGGTTTTCTCAAAATACATTTCTGCCCTAGACTCAGATTTCTTTTATCTGACTGTTATCTTGGTTGCAGCACTTCCTACTGTCTGTCAAGATTATTTCTTCTGCCCGTTACAGTCTGCTGAAGGAAAACAGAATGTTCAGTTTGAAGAAAAGACGACTGAGAGAAGACATGATTGTCAGATGGGAGTACTGTACATAAAGGGAAGATGGCCAAGAACTATTTTCCATGGCCATAGAAACAGAAATAACTGGTATAAACTTTGTGATGCTGTGCATGCGATAGGAACCACAAATATATGTAAGGAATGTGTTTTACTTTACTGTACGTGGGCATCAATATATGGATAAATAGGCTTATCTGAATGGAAGTAGGACAGGTATCCCATTACATAGACATAAGTGAGAGAACACCCTTGCCAAGCATCATTTCCATCCTGCTTCTACTGTTGAAATGTTCATGTTGGATAAATGGGGAGGGTTCCAACCAAGCTGGAAGTTTGCATAAATCAAGGAGAGGTAAGCCAAAAATCCCCACATTTCTTATGTTACCAAAAATGTGCTTCATTCAATGAATCTTTGGTAGGATGCTTCGTAAGTTTGATTGCATCAAAATAAGAAGCCACCAAATGCTCTTGCATTGTTTTGACATCTCAGAACTAAAGCTCATCTGAAATAGCTCATCAAAGCCTTATGTCTCTAAAAAATAATCTCCCATTTGAGTTGACCTTAATTCCTTGCAATTTCAAGAGCATCTCCATTTAGCTTTTTAGGTAACAAAAGACATGTCCTTTGCCATTGTCTACTTCCAGCAGGTTTTCCTGAATACTCAGTTTATTTTATAGTCCTGGGATTTACTTGTGATCTCTCATTCGTACCAACTAGGTCCACCCCATAGTTATTTGAGACCATCCAAAGTCAATTCATAATGCCATCATGGTCTCATATCTGTATCTGTTTCTGAAGTATTCCCACTGAGAGGATTTGAAACATAAATAAAACCAGGATATTATTAAATAAATTACCCACCTATCATCTAAAACTACACTCTCACACTTTCAGTAGCATTCATGGTGAAATGTACAAGAATAAAATGACATATAAGAAAAAAAGCATTTTTCCAAGAAAACTGACAAATTTGATATTTATATGTACTCAAAATTTAATTCATCTATTAGGTTATATAGCACTCTTCTTGCTATAGGTTACCTTTGCTGTCTATATCCATATAATTTTCATTTTCTTTCTGAATCTCAACTAATTCCCAACAGGCTCTATTCCAGGGCTTTTCAACCTTTTCACCCATTGTACCACTTTTAGGATATGGCAATACCCAAGTATCACCAGTCGCCTAGCAAGGTGTCAAAAACTTGATGACAAAAAAAAAAAAGGAAAAAAGTGATAAAGTACAGATAGTCCTCGACTTACAACAGTTCGCTTAGTGACTGTTCGAAGTTACAATGGCACTGAAAAAAGTGCCCCCCAAGTCACAGTCGAGCAAGACATCTGCCTGCCCACCCGACGGTGCTCTTCCTCCTGTCTAAGGTTTCCATTGTTGTGAGCATTTCTGTTGAGGATTGGCAGCGGGGGTGGGGTGAGGGGGTGTTTGGTTTTTATTCCCGTCTGCTGGGTGGCTGCAGCAGGTTTTGGTCACTTCACATGACCCTGGGACACTGTGACCGTCATAAATATGAATCAGTTGCCAAGCATCTTAATGCAAATCACAAGACCCTGGGGATGCTGCAACATTCCAGCTGATCGGCACTTCTGGGCTCAGCAGAAGCACCAGGATCTGCGCCGAGCTCCAGCTGGAGCCTGGCACTGATTGTTCTGTCCCCGTTCCGACCCACACACCCAAACAGCCAGCCGAGGGTTAAAGACTTCTCCAGACACCACTTCACAGATAAGAAACTTGGCAGCAGCTCCGTAGCTGCCTGCCAAGACCTTTTACTCCAAACACACAGAAACAAAAACAATACACAGTTTAAAGCCACAGCAAACTACTTTGCCAGAGATTCAGCTTTTGTCCGTCACAGAGGTCCAAATGGCCACCACCACCCTTTTATAGCCTGTGGGGTGTGGTCCAGTGACTCAGCTTAATCTCTGGCACGTCTCTTTTTTTGCTGCGCACGCTTGTCGCTCCTACGCTGGCGTGGATCCAGCCACAACTTCCCTTCCTCATTATCCGACACACCTGGCTCCTGGCCAATCTCAGAAACACCTGGCTCCTGGCCAATCTCAGAAACACCCGGCTCCTGGTCAATCTCTTCTCCGTCGGGAGACACCTGAGGCATTGCCAAAGAGGAGGGTCCTGGAGAGGGAGGCCTAGCCATCTCCTCTCCTTCATGTTCGGAGCCTTCTTCCTCCGATAAGAGGGGCTCACAAGACGGAGCCACAACACTGATCCTGGTGCTTCCACTAAGCCCTGACACCCCTGCAACTCCAGCCATCTGTCCCTAAGGCTTGTGCGGTGCTGCCACCGGTTCAGCTCATTCCCCTCCTCCGCTACCACTTTTCTAGGATGCTTGCGTACCACCTGCCAAGTGCCAATGTACCACAGGTGGTACCCGTACCACTGGTTGAAAAGCCCTGCTCTATTCCATAGAATCCCTCCACTCAGGACCAGGGAAACTTCTAAAACCAAGTTTCTTTCTCACAAGGAAATCCTTCCCCCCCCTATAGTTTCCTGTTTACCCACAAGGCTGTATATATAGTATATGTACAGGATAATATGAGAACTATGTTGATGAGCTTTTGAATGAGTCAACTATACTCAGGTGGAGTGATTATTATCAATACTATTTTGAAGGGATAATCTTGATTGTAGATATTGCAACTAATATGGAGCATTTCAAACACATCATTATGTGCCAACAAGTCTGTAACAATGGACTTCTCCAAGGAGACAGGATCTTCACATTATGTGCCCAAAATATTATTTGTGCCTTAAATGAGAACTCTAGATTGATTTGTTTAATAATCCCATTTACTTTCTTTCTTGGCTATCTATGTTTGTCTAAGGAATCTTCTTCAACACCAGAGTTGAAAATGCTCTATCGTGTTTCTTCAAAATCCAAACTTCATTTCCATTATAAATATATTTTACATGTAGTATTTTTATTGTATGTCTCTTTATATATCATACATATATCTATATATATATCCATACTCTCTCTCTCTCTCTCTCTCTCTCTCTCTCTCTCTCTCTCACACACACACACACACACACACACACACACACACACACACACACATTCTCTCTTTCTTTATATATATCTTCTGTTCAATCATGTCCAATTCCTGAGGACTGCATAGACAATGTTCCTGCAGGGGTTTTTTGACAATATTTTTTAAATGATTTGTCATTTTTTATTATTTTTCTGAAGTAAATGAATTTATATGGGATAAGATAAAGAAATAACCTTGGAAACAGTATGGAAGGATTTGCCTCATGTAGGCCTACTGGCTTTATATATATATATAAAATTATAAATTATATATACTGCTCACAAAAATAAAGGGAACATTTTACCATGGAACTGAAGGGGTTTGCATTCTCTTTATTTTTGTGAGCAGTATATATAATATAAATATATAAATGAAATTTCATTTTAATGTATGCCAATTAGTGTACATTCAAAGTGACAATAAAATTATTATTCTATGTTGTTTAAATCCAGTATAAAATTTGAAAATATGTCTTCCTCATATATTCATCACAACAGTCTTATATCCATACTACTACTCAAAGTAGTTAGCCTTGTCACCAGCAGAAATCAGATCTTCATTTCAGGTACAAGAATGCAATCCAGTGGGACACCCCTACACCAAGTAAATGACTGCACACATTCCTTAAAAGTATTTTTAAAAAGGTAAAGGAGTCCTTGCGAATTTTACTCCGCTACTAATCATAGCCAACTATAGGGGACAGTGCTCATCTCCATTTCAAGACCACTGAGCCAGTGTTGTTTGAAGACATTACCATGGTTCATGTAGCCAACATGACTTCACAAAGCAGTTATCTTCCCACCAAATAGATGCCTATTTATCTATTTGCATTTGTATGCTTTCAAACTGCTAGGTTGGCAGAAGCTGGGATAACGATGGGAGCTTGCCCCATCATGTAGAGCTCAGATCTTGAATCTGGACTGCTGACTTTCTAGCCAACAAACCCAGCATCTTAACTGCTGAATCACTGCACCGTCCTCCTTAAAACTATACAGCTGCTTTAAATGATGGCTTAGCTTGGTTTATAAAAATTTTCTACAAGAACCCATTTTTCAAGGGATGTTGTTACTTGCCCTGAATTATAGCAGAGAAGGGTAGAAATATACATGAAACAGATAGAAAGAATTTTACTTACATGAGTCCAATCCTTCCACCATACAGGAACTGAAGATAAAGAATGGAAAAAGTATCCCATGACTGATCAAGGCAAGCAACGATGTTGTGGTGCTCTTTGCTCCTACCATTCCATGGCACATCTTTTAGACACCAAAAGTTTTTAATGTTTAAAGTCAGATGGTGAGTCCAATTTTTACCTTCAACAAAAAGAAAAAAATAAAGCTTAGATAAAACATCCATAGTGCAGAAAAGAAAAAGAACTGAGTATTTTGAACCTATGGCAGTGGATATATTCCTTCAAGATATAAGTAACATTTCAAAGAAACACGAAACAACTAGAAATTCACACACAAAAAAAGAATAACTATCTTGTCTGAATGTATTAGCACTCAGATAGATTGTACATAAATGGAACTTGGAAGACTGTTTTTGTTTTAAAAAAGCAAGTAATTGTCACAAACCTGCCTTGTCTTTCCTGAACCAGTTTTGTTTCTGTCTTTTTTAAAAAAAGGTTCAACTAGATAATTAGGATTAAAACATTAAAATCCTTAATAAACTACCTAGAAAAAAGACAAAAGACTGATGGCAATGCACTCAAGAGAAAGAAATGTGCATATATATGCCACACAGTTGAAATGACTATATACAAAAGCTAGCCAGAATAATAATCAAGCTTAAATATCAAAACATCACAAACATGAATTGCAAAAGGCTAAAACTATTTAAACTCCAGGAAGTGACATCATTTCTTCTTGTCTAATGATAATTAGATACAAGCCAAAGGTATATGTCACCTTCTATATTCAACAATGTCCTAGAGCAGTATTTCTTAACTTGGGCAACTTTAAAATTTGTGGACTTCAACTCCCAGAATTCCCCAGCCAACTTTCTGGCTGAGGAATTCTGGGAGTTGAAGTCCACTTATCTTAAAGTTGCAAAAGTTGAGAAACCCTGTCCTAGAGTAAAGAACTTCAGGTAGTCAATCATGTATTTCATATAACATAAGTAATTCTATGATGACTTCACATCTTTTGACAATCAAAATTGGTATGTCAAATTAGAAATTAACTTTCTTAATTATTATATATGCATATTGGTATTCTTTCAAATGCTATGATATTGTAAAAAGACAATCTCTGAGGAGATGGAACCAATCTGAGGACCTGCTGGAGCATAAGAGCAAGAGATGCCAACTGCTAGTCAGACTTGACTGATGACATTAAACTCAAGGGAGACTAGGCAAGAGGAAAAGAAAAGACATTTTATTTTCCTTGTGAAATATTAAATTTAGATTCATTTTTTCTTCTTTTTAAGAATATCCCCAGGCAATGGGGATATTTTTCCTCAAGAAATCATTATAATTCTGATATAATTGACAGGCAAAAGCAAGATAATTTCTGTCTCTGTGGAAAGAAAGCAGGGAAAAGGATAGGAATTCAGGGAGTTGATTTTTTTCCCCCACAATAAAAGGAAGAAAGCTAGGAATCTACAGCAAACCTAGAGCCTCTTTACTGATGGGATCTCTCATCTCCACTGTGAATGTTGGTCAAGAATTAAATAGCTCTTTTAAAAAGGCACACTATTTCAGAATTTGCTCAGTGTGGTTTTCCCCTTTCACATATACTAATAAATCATGATTTGGCACATATTTTCATAGACTGAATTCCATGGGAACCACAGTGGGGGAGGAACTCTGTCTTCATGCTTTGGGTTTGGCTGGCCAGTATGAAAAAAGAGGCAAAGTTTTTGTAATCCCCAACACCGATTACGTAGAAGCAAAAAAGGAACTATAGATAATAACAAAACTTTTGAAAGTCTTTCCATGTAATATTATCTTTGTTTCAACTCTAAAAAAAGGTTTTCGTGGGTGTTTCACAACTATGTGTGTCACATCCTTCTCAACAGAATTCTTTTTATGTTCTGAGTATGTGAATCTGATTTGAGAATTTTTATGCCACAGTATACGTATCTACTTTTTCAGAAAATAAGTAAATATTATCATGTACTGTTCTAAACAACAAATAATATGAAGTAGTATGTTGATAAATTGGGGATCACAAGCAAACTTGAGAAAGGTTATAAATTTATTTGGAATTGCTACCAGAATTTCCTTATATCCTGCATAGATATGCAGAGCATGTTCTGACAGGGCTTTGGGTGTGCCTATGCAAAACCAGATTGCAACCAGAATTTACCATGGTGCCTGGATAAAGAAGCAGTAGCACTACCGTTATCAAAGCACCTCTTGTTTTATCTTGACTTATCTAGCAAAGTGAGCAGCAAACACACAATGACCATCTAGCTATTTATCAAAATCATTGATCAATTATAGTAACGTTGTAAGTTGGTGATTTCCAATGGGGCATCTAATATATAGTGATTTTTTTTTGGTACACCTACAGAAGTGAAGTTCAGTAATACAGTACTACCATGTTTCCCGAAATTAAGACCAGGCCGGCAGAAATGGTCCAAAGAGCCACGCGGTATCCTGCCGCGAGCAGCAGACATGGCCCGAAGCACCATGCGGCTTCTTGCCGCAAGCAGTAGAAACGGCCCAAAGAGCCACACACCCTCCTGCCGGGAGGAGTGGAAATGGCACAAAGCACCATGCGGGGTCCTGCTGAGAGCAGCAGCAATGGCCCGAAGCGCTATGCAACCTCCTGCCGGGAGCGGCGGCACTGGCGTGACGAGCCACACGGCTTGACAAGTGTCGAGGCGTGGAAGGCCTGGCTGTGACGGTCCTACCGGTAAGGTAAGTGGGTGCAGGGCGTGTGGGGCAGGTTCACCCCCCCTATCCCTGCCCTAGCTTGATTTTTAGGTGTGCGCCTCGCCCCAAAACTAGGGCTTATTTTTGGAGTAGCACTTATATTAGGCCCACCCCAAAAATCAAGCTAAGGCTTACTTTTTGGCTGGGTTTTACTTTCAGGGAAACACGGTAGTATTGGTGAAGTTCAATGTCCTTATTCATTATTTTAGATTTCTAACTTTTTTAAAAAATAAAAAGGTTCAGGTCATAGAAGANTTTGCACATGTACTGCATTGCTTTTTATGTAATTCCATACATTTACTTTTATAGCCCCTCCCAAATTTTACTTGCATTCCTGTTCTCTAAAGGGGCGGTCCTAGGGTTTGATGAGGGCGTGGCCAGGTTTGGGTGGGGGCGTGGCCAGGGGAGGGAGGTGAGTTCCACCACCTTTTCTCTGAGAAAAAAAGCCCTGGCTATCGGAATATCTGACAGCTAGATTTTTAGGAAGGTAATTTGATTTGGCCAAGGTGACCAGTTTATCATAAGTACTAAACTCCCTTCATCAATGAACAGTTACCAAAAAAGTAGACTATTGTACTGACGTGTACAAATCAAGAATATGAGTCTATAATTGAGTTCAGACATCCATCCCTGATCTCATAAAATATTGTCCTGGAGGCAAGGTCATAGTCACAATCTTCTTTGTTCCATTCCCCTAAACGTGAGTACAGTGTTATTGGCTGTATTATGCCAAAGTTATGCCAACTGTTTTTATTCTGTCTTAATGTCACTTAAATCAAAGTAATAGTCTTATCCTGGATTTGTCTGCACATTGCAGAAGTCTGAATTAGACTTGTGATCCTTTTCAACTTTAATTTATTATTATTGTCCTGATTTGCTAATTACACTCAAACCAAGTTTCCTAACTTGGATGAATAGAACTTCATAAAATTTCATGTTTCTACATGAAAATATACCTAGAGGAGGAGAAAGAGAAAAATGGAGCTATTTCATAGGTTCTGTTTTATAATCTTAAATAATAAAAGATCAAACTGTATACCTTCAATAAATTATATTTATTTAAATACAAAATATCTGATGGTATAAAGCTTGAAGTTAGTATGCATATAAAGCTGTGACAAGTGAGAGGGAACCAGTGATTCATAGGCTACAGATAGCCTATGTAAACATATGTCAGCCATCAAGAAACAAGCCAAATGTCAACTTGGAACTCAGGAAGAAAAAGCCTCCCTCCCTTGCTCTCCCCTCCACACACACAAACACGCACAAACAAATGTGTTGGGTTAAAATTTCATTCTTTAATTCAGTCAAGTTGTGTCTGAGAATCTTCTGCCAAGTACTGAATAATGTCTGAAAAGCTGCAGTTTGCTGCTGAACTCTGGCAGAAAGTGTGATGGTTCAAGCTGTAAAATAACCTTGATCATACTGAGATTATGGGAGCTGTAGTCTAGCACTCACTGACTGATTAGGTACCATCAAATCATTTTTGACTCCTAGGACCACATAAAGAGAGAGTAGTCTAATATGTGTGTGTGTGTGTGTGTGTATGTATTAAACATAGTTTGTAATACATAGATCAGTGATGGCAAACCTTTTAGAGACCGAGTGCCCAAACTGCAACCCAAAACCCACTTATGTATCGTCGGGTGCCAGGTGGATGTGGCCCGTTGGGTGGGCGTGGCTTAGGTGGTAACGGCAGACGGTGGGACTAAAAAGTTCAATCAATCAATTCCAACTTTGCAAGATGTTTTTTTTCCCGTGAGAAGTTGAAATTGACTGATTGATTGAACCTTTTTTTTTTTTTGTACACGGCGGCGGAGGCCTAAAGCGAAAAGGTTTTATAAAACCCAGCTGAAGGCCTAGGACTGGGGCGACGGCGCACGTGCCCACAGAGAGGGTTCTGAGTGCCGCCTCTGGCACTCGTGCCCTAGGTTCGCCACCACTGAACTATGGTATTCGCTTAATGACTGTGGCAGTAGCTTAACATCCACCGCAATAATGTTGTAAAATAACAATGAATGGAAATTTAGCTTCCCGCTAAGAAATTAGTTGGCTTTGTACAGCAGCAGGCAGCACGCAAAAGAGAAGATTTTCAATTAAAAATAATATGTTAGAAGTCAGGATCTAATAATCACTGAACTCTTAGAAAATGCAAAATACATTGCAAGCAGCTCCTCTGTTCACGATTTTGGTATTCTTAAATACACACTAATAATTTGAGACATATTAGCAATTTCTGCCCACATTGACACTCACAGACTCATACTGGCAGGACATGTGGGACCAGGAGGCAGCAGCAATCAGCACAGAGCAAGAAAAACATCTGCTGGTTTTACTAAAAATACTATATGATTTGTACTAAATACACAATGACAATTGACGTTTAGATGAGATCCTGCCCCATCATTTAGATAGAAAATGA